TACAGTCAGTTGATTTTCAGCAACATTACTAAGCAGTCACATGGGAAAGGAGAGTCTTTCCAACCAGTAACTGGATATCTGTTGGGAAAGGAAGAAGCCTTGACTCCTGCGAAACACCATATACGAAAGTGAATCCGAAATAGACGGTAGGTCTAAACATGCACATCAAGACAAGCTTCTAGAAAAAAAACAAAAATGTCTGATCAGCTTTGGAACAGGTAAAGGTTTCCTAGAATACAAAGCACAAATCACAAGAGAAAAGAAATTAAGCTTCCACCAAAAGTAAATTTTTTCTCCTCTTCAGAACAAACAGGTAGACCATGGGCTGCCAGGAGATAAGTAATCTGTGTTCTGACAAAGGGCTCGTAACTAGAAGATGGACAAATGCAAGTGAGAAGAGATGAAAAGCCCAGTTTAACAAAAGGACAAGAGGCTTGAACAGACCATCAGAGAGAAGGTGCATGAGTGGCCAGTAAGACCTGAGAAGCTGCTTAAAGTCATTAGTCACTAGGGAATGCAAATGACAACAAGTTGCCATTTCCCATTTGGTAAAATGGCTGACATTAAGAAGACCAACAATATGTCAAATACTGCTGAGAATGTGGAGCCACCAGAACTCAACATAGTCCACAGAGCACATACCAGGGTGTTTATTGTCACTGTTCATACAAACAAAAGATCAAAAACATGTCCACCAACAGAAAAATGGAGCAGATGGTGACATGCTAATGCACTGGAGTATCACTCAGCTGTAGACAGGAGTGAGCTGTCATAAATGCCATGTATTGTGTGAATCTCAAGAACGCATTAAGCAAAAGGAGCAAGACACAGCAGAGTACGTACTGTGTCTGCACGAAACTTTACAACTAGCCAGACTGATTTACGGGGCTGAAAATCGGAACGTTGCTCCTGAAGGGGGAGAGGAAGGGTTAGTTAAAAAGGAAAATGGAAATCTGCATCTGATCTGTGATCTTGGTTACATAAGTGTAGATATTTGTCAAAACTCACTGAACTCTGCACTTCAAACCTATGCATTTTATTATACTTTTTTTTTTTTTTAAGATAAAGGAGAAGAACAGTCACACTGGGGAGAACACATGCCCGTGTCACATAGTAGTCAGGCTCTCCCCAGCAGAAGAGAGGCCCGCTGCTGATGGATCTGGGAGCAGGGCCTTGGGCTTGCCTGGGTTCGTGTTTTCTGTAATCCGTTTGGATTGCCCTTTCCATACAACAGGCTTTTTGTCCTTGTGAGGGGAGAGGTCTGGTGCACCCTGTGACCAGGTGTCAAGTATTAGGAAACATCCAAACCGTGTCTTTCAGGAAAGGTTCATTGCACACAGGTGGCCAACAGGCACGTGAAAAGATGCTCAATATCACTGATTATCAGAGAACTGCAAATCAGAGCTACAGTATCACCTCACACTGGTCAGAATGGCCATCATTAAAAAGTCCACAAAAAGGAGAGGGTGTGGAGAGAAGGGAACCCTCCTACAGTGTTGGACGAAATGTAATTTGGTGCAGCCACCACAGAAAACAGTATAGAATTTCCTTAAAAAACTTAAAACTTAAAAACTAAAAATTGCTTAGAGTTACCATATGATCCAGCAATCCCACTCCTGGGCATATATCTAGAAAATACAAAAACTCTAATTCAAAAAGACACATGCACCCCAATGTTCATAGCAGCACTATTCACAGTAGCCAAGACATGGAAGCAACTTAAGTGTCCCTCGACAGATGACTGGATAAAGAAGCTGTGGGGGGGGGTGTTCGCATATACATACATATATGTATATACACTATGAAATATTATTCAGCCATAAAAAATGAAATAATGGCATTTGTAGCAACATGGATGGACGGAGGGATGATCATACCAAGTGAAGTAAGCCAGACAGACAAAAGACAAACGTATCACTTGTATGTGGAATCTTTAAAAAAAAAACAGACTTATTTATAAACAGACTCACAGACATAGAAAACAAACTGATGGTTACCAAAGGGGAGAAGAGGAGGGGAAGGGATAAATCAGAAGTATGGGATTAACAGACACACACCACTGTATATAAAATAGGTAAACAACAGGTCTTCACTGTGTAGTGCAGGGAACTGTATTCAGTATCCTGCAATAACCTGTAATGAAAAAGAATCTGAAGCTGTCCGCCTGAAACTAAAACAATATTGTAGATCAACTAGAGTTAAATTTAAAAACCAGCTAAAAAAAAGGTTCACCAATAAAATTAGTGTTTTGAATCCATTTGTTTGCTGTGTCTTATTTCCCAGAGAGGTGCTTTAGAAGGTTAGGAGGGGCCCTGTACATTGCCTTCTCTGAGACTCCAGCCAGCCTCCTCCCGGGAAGAAGCATGAAGGGGCAGATTGAGGGAGGGCCTGAGGTGGGAGCAGAACTGTCCCGGGAGGCCGCAGCCTCCCTCAGGCACAGCCACGCCCACTGTTAAGTCCAGTGGGTTAAGAGGATGGCACCGTTGAGTGATATTAGGGGTGACTGGCGGGGAGGAGGGTAGAGCTTGGGGGTAGAGCATGTACCTGGCATGCACGAGGTCCTGGGGTCGATCACCAGCCCCTCTGTTAAATAAACCTAATTACCTCCCCCTCCTCCCAAACAAAAATTAGTAAGGGTGATTGCTGGCCTCAGGCTTTTCTGTGGAATCTCAGTGCAAGAGTTAGCACTCTTGGCCTCTCTCTACCTCATCTCTCAACTCTTAAGCGACGTCACAGTGATTTATCTGATTAATTTGGAGAGGGTCTGCGTTTGTGTTCAATGCCTTCTGCACTCTTTCTTGCATTTGCTAGCCTACCGAGGAGTATGTTCTGGTCTGTACCTATCTGCAGTCTGCCTGGCCCGCTGGACGGGGCCCGCAGTTGTCCAGCTCTGCCGGTGGTTAGG